TGCTTACTCGTAATTTTCTTAATGTGAAAAATGTGCTGCTTGACTTTTGAATTTTAATTTAACATTGAACTCTATTTTCTCTATTTTTATTTACTTTCTGACCTCCAGAAAGTGAAAAAAAAAACATTTATATTCAGAAAATGACAAAATCTTAAAATAGATATATTTGCATATGTTTGTATTTATTATAGACATAATATGGAACTAAACAGATATTTATATTTCAAGTGAAGTCGGAACTTAAGTTTCTTACATTCTATATACTATTTTATCTATTAACAATTCCTTGAAAATTTGTTCTAATAAAAAAACTTACTCAGCCAATTAGTGTTGCAATTCAGTAACACAAAACGTGTGAGATATTTTGCAACGAATTGCTTCAATTTAAACGAAACTTGCGTCATAATAACTTCGAAGTAATTGATTTATACAGCAAAATCATAAAAAATTGAATAAGATATTTCTCCCCTGCCTTATTTACATTACAAAATGATTTCGAATAGAATGGGCGAGTATTTGATCACTGAGTCAATAAATGTGCTTACGCAATATCACTGCAATTCGTTACATTTTGTTCAGTTACAGTGGAATGAGAACAGCTAAAAGAAGTAATTGAATATTTTTAATTTGTAATAAATTTGATTGAAAATACTTATATACTAGTACTAGTATATACATAACGTCCTCTTAAGCAATAAGCGGGACATCGGCACAAGCAGGGTCCAAACGTAATAAGTAACATATCTAGCTACGATTCTTGCTGTGAACTGTGAACGATTAATACTTCTCATCGCGCAGCGTAGGCAGCGTGAGGTACCTATATAGAGATATATTTACAAATCCATGAATATCTCTAGGTGTTTGCAAACTAGTGGTGAATCTTCTGTAAACTATTTCAATATACAGTCGGAGTCATAAGTCTACAAGCAAGCAGTACAAAAAACTTTGTTTAAAAACAGCAGAGATGACGATGCTTTTATTGGCAAGGGTACCTAAACATGCGATCAAAAGTCTACAAGAACTTGGTATTTCTGCAGTTCTAAGGCGAGTTAAATGTTAATTGGTGAAAATTTAGATTGAGTCTTATTGTATATGTGGTATTTAATCATAAAACTGCAAAAAATTTTTTTCTGCTTAAAATATATACTAAAAAAATGGCAATGGTGTCTCACCGGAAAAAAATAAGCGTCGTTGAAAGAAAAATCATCATAAAATTTTGGAAGAAAGGGATGTCGAACCGGGAATTTGGACATTTGTTTGGAACATCGCACTGTTCGGTCCATACCGTGATCAGAAATTGGAAAGTTACCGGTATTATCACGTCAAAGCCGCGTTCTGGTCGCCTGTCGAAACTCACTCACCGTAAAATCCGCTTAATATTAAATTCGGTAAAGAAAAATCCACGTTTGACAGCATTGGAAATTGTAAGTAATATAAAGGAAAGCTTTGCAAAAAATAATTCCGTGGTCACCGCACGAAGAATTTTGAAATGTGCCGGTTTTCATGGTAGAGTAACACGAAGGAAGCCTTACATATCTTTAATTAATCGAAACAAGCGCATTGCTTTTTAAAATAAATATGTAGGTATGCCGGAGGAGTTTTGAAATAATGTGCATTACTCCGACGAATCAAATTTCTGTGTTTCTAGCATTCAAGGATGTAAATTATTATGGCGTAAGCCAGGTGAAGCATACAATAAACAAAGTCTTTTCCCAACTGTAAAACATGGAGGTGGTTCATTGGTGCTCTTAACTTTAGCAGAAACGATATTAAAACCTACACTGAACTTCTTACAGGACACAGTAGACTTAATTACCACAAGACGATTATAGATACGGTAGAAAGTGATTTCTGTCGACTCTGTCATGAGGAGAAAGAAAAACCAGAATACATCCTATGCACCTGCCCAGCGACGACAAGACGTAGACTCGACTACTTTCGAAGGGGATCTTAGTCCCAAATCAAATAGGTACAATTAAGCCCACAGCAATTACGAGATTCGTAAGTAGTCTAGAATTGTTTTAGTTGGGCCTTTAGGCGTACAATAGATTTTTTAGGTCGGGGTGCATTCATAGCCTATTATTTAATAATAATAATAATAGTCGTAAAAGTTATTCTTTTAGTATTTAAGTAAATAATTGGTTGCATTATAATTTGATATACATTTAACATACTAAAGGTAACTTGTTCAATATTGTCAACCGATTCAAAATAAATTGAGATATTTAATTTGATTCATATAAATTTGGCATGAATCATCGGTGAAATGCTACTTTTCAGATATTTGCAAGCTGCCAAAGTGACGAATTCACACTGGTAAAGCAAGTATCGTTGAGAAGAAGAACACTAAGTTTCTGTTAGATATACTATACATAATAGAAAGGAAAAAATACATTAAAAAAAATGTTTTTGGCAACTTATCAATTAAACAAAAAATAGATACGCAAATAAAAGAGTTTTTTATTTTCAACGGCAGATGGGATGACTCACTAGTAGAATGAAAATTATATTAATAATTATTATTTTATTTAATTAATTTCGACTATTTATTAATGCAAACTTTAAATATATAAAAAAATGAACTAAATGCTAGATAAACAAAACATTAAAGAACAAGAAGACTCTTGAAACGTTTAGAAAACGCTTTAGGAAATTGTTAAAACTTATCCACTTCCAAAATAGTAATAAGCACATACAAACTCCTTTCATCGAATAAACTGGAGAAAGATTATATATTGTTTAAAAGGTAACTTAATAATTTCATATCAAGAATTTAAAAAGGAACGTATTGGTATTAGTTTCCCCAAATTCTACACATATATGAGTATAGTGAAGATTAACTTTTATGAATATATTCATTCTTTTTTATTTCTGGTTGATGTCACTGATGTCTTCATGTCATCAATGATTCACTGATTAACTTCAAACAATTAAATTTTTTAACTAATAATTATTAACTCGAAATAAGTACTTAATTCTAACAGTTACTTTTCTATTGATTTGTAAATAATATCGCGTCATTCTATGTACTCACTTTGAATGGATTTTAGAAGATTATAAAGTCTGTAACATTTTATTTATTGAAAATACATTGGTTTTGTGGTTGTTTTTCTAAAAGGTTGAAAAGTTTTCAAATGCAACTACATCTGTGCTAATTTAACAATTTGACAGAACAAAAATTTAAGCCCAATCAAAAGTGTTAGTAAAAACATTCTTAATAACTAATAATTAAATTTTGTACATTGTTAACTGTCTAATATGAGTAATGAATGGAAAATAATAGTACATAAGTTAAAATATATTACTAGCAAGAATTAATTAGCTTACATTTAATCAGCTTTTTTTTGTATATACAAAACATTAAGGCTGATATCATAAATCTCCTCAGTATCTTCCTTACTATCGTACTTAATAATAACATATCTCATCTTTTAAATTATTAAAAATGATAAAGATAAAATCGTCTGACAAGATATCTTTGCATATCTTAGCAAACTACATAAGTTATATCTTATAAATGATAAAGTTAGAAATGAAATTACCACATTTAGATACATTCTAAGTTATGAAAATTACGTTTGTATGTATGTATATTTACATGGAAAGAAATTTTTCAGTGCTAAATGTGAAACTACAAATTGTGTAGCTAATTTTTTTTTTGGATTATTATTGCTTTGAAACACACCCCCTCTAAATTTTGAATGAAGTCCACATTTATGTAAAAGTACATTGCACAAATGTTAAATATTAAATTTGCAGTATTTGGACAATTTCGGAGCCACATCAAAGATGAGGGTTAGTTTCTATTATTGAAACTCTGAAAGTGCTCATCCAAATATAAACATCGCGAGAGAAGGGTCGGGTCACTTACGTTGGATGAGTTTTAAATACATTTTCAATTTTGCGGACTCAATGAATGCCAATGACAGCTGTCAAAATTTTACCGATCAATTACAGCATTAGTTAATTAAAGAAAATATATTTGCACAAATTTCAGGGTTAAATAAAGGCAAAATAGAAATCTCACATAAGCCTCAATAAATGTAAACAAACTCGTTGAATAATTTTTTAATGAATTTTGTTAAACATGAAATATTGCAGTGTATCTGATATACATGTTTATGAAATTACCATGCCATGGTGCTCTGTAAAAGTTCAGTACTCATGCAGGCTATATAGATACAAGATATCTTCCTAGATTGAAGTGCGTTCTGCATACACCAAACAACAGAATAGCATGAAATACATTGCATAGATTATTCTAAATTGCCATTTTCGCTGAATATTTTAACATATCTGATTATGTCGTGTTCTCATAAGAATTCTCAAGCACCTAAAATATATGCACATGTAAAGTTTATCAATTTTTTTTCTCTAAAAATTAAAAATAAGATGAATTTAAAAGTAGTCGGGACGCTAGAGTTACACTGCAGCTGTGGTTTTAAATCCTTAATAAAATGAGAAAAAAAAATATGTTACACTATGAAAAAACTTGCAAATGCTAAATCGAGGCACTCTACGCTGGAATCTGTTGATAGATGCAATTTTTTTTCGAAAAACTGAAAGTCAAATGCGACCAATAATGGAAAACAGCAAATTTGAGCCAGTATATTTAAAAAACAAAAAATTTTGATAATAAATATTTATTTTTTGAATAATACACATGAAGAAATACTTGCAAATGTATTCACTTGTTTTTTTTTTCATTGCAAGAAATGTAAATCAGAAAAACTTAAAGTATTTAATTTATCCGATCTTCAGTAAAGTTAATAAAGAGATGACAATCATTTTAAATTAGTTGAGTGCACAGATTGTCACTTGCAAAATAAATGCAACAAAATTTACAATTATTGTCACATGTCACATTCGAAAAAAATTCATTTATTAGTGAATTTATGAATGCAATGCTCAATTCGTTCATTCATAAATTAAATGATTTATATTGAAGTACTTTGATTTATTTTTTAAAAAAACTTTAATTATGTATCTTTTTTTTGTAGATTGATCGTTGGTGCGCCCAAATTTGATACCTCATCTTCTCAGCAAGGCGTGTTGGAAGCTGGGGCTGTGTTCAAGTGTGGTATGAACGATGGGGACTGTAACTTAGTTAAATTCGATTCTACAGGTGAGTGATCAAAGTGATTTAAATGGCATATTAGTAGATGTAAACGTAGTCCTAATAAGTTAATACATGAATTAAAATTTTGCTTATATTTATATATAAGTACATCATATTATAAAGTAATAAATATTTACTTGTATAAGAGATCTATTAATAAAATACCAATAAATCAATAAATACCAATAAAATTATAATTTGAAATAAATCAGATACAACTGTTGTAACAGATGTAGTAAGTTACTATATTTCGACATCAGTTATTGTTTGATAACTGTTTTTAGATATTAAGAACTTTGTTTCAATTTCATCTAAAACTATTTATTAAATGTTATTTATCTTCTAAGATCAACAATTTCGTTTATTTACTAGTATTATCAGTTAGAGTTATTGTACTTAAATTTCTTATAAATATTGTGTTGTGTTTCGTTTGGCACCCTAAACGAACTTGGTTAGCTCTTTAAGCCGAGCTTTATATTTCACGGTATGTGAATTAAACCCCCGCTTGTATTGAACCTGAAAGTGTTCAGAGAAAGCACATTCCGCTTACCATGTTAGTAGAATCTTCATAGTATGAGTAGTAATTGTTTGCTTCCTCAACTAAGCGAACTGATATTCAAGATAAGTTTGAAAAAGTAATTCCACGTTTTTTAATATATCTCTTCCCTATCATTATCAACGATTTTTTCAGTATTTTTCCAACGATTATCATTAGTTTCGTGTATTTTATTTTTGAAGAACCTTTAAATTGTACTGTACTAAAATTTAAAACTATTTTGTTTTTTTGTCTTTTTTGTTCTAGTAGCGACTGAAAAAGCATTCATTTCAGTTTGTAATATAATTTTCATCTTCAACATACTGGTATAGTTCATTGAAAATCTAATTTTCAACAAAAATATCTTTATTTGCTGAGTATTGCACTCCAAAATGTTATTTTATGGCAAGGTTTTTGGCTCTACCACGCGTTCAACATGGTGCACAATCTAATATTTTCATTTTACACATTTATCAATAAAAAATATTTTATTAGCATTTTAGTTCATAAAATACAAACAAAAAAACTAAAAATAACATCAAATAATTTGTATTTTACGACACCTTTCGAAAGCAAAATGGGCCATCATCACTAGAAAATATCTCAAAATGGCCAATGATGCCACCAAAAGAATACGAAAACAAAAACAAAACAGAAACATAAACATAAACACTTGAAAGAAGCAACGTTTCTTTAAGGTTTCTTCAACGATTTAACGATTTCATCCTCTTCTTCATAAATTTGTGGCATGTAAGTTTCTTCAAATACGTATATCACAGAGCAATATTAAGATATTTGGCATGATGATTGTATATCGCCCTGACAACCCACATTAAGTCAAATACTATTTAAATTGATGCCCAACTGGCCTACGCATCTATTTAAGTAAAAAAAACGTCGTCTTTCAGATAGAAGATTTTTCTATTTCAGTACTTTTCAGTTTTGTGACAAATTATCTTCATGCAATCACATCAAAATATTTTTCTCTAACAGATGAGATAACGAGACTTTAAGTATTTATATCTTAACGTCTGATAAAATGCGATAAAATTGCATGTTTGGGACATGCAATAAATATTTTACCGTCAAACTCTTGGTTAATTGCCGAACAGGGGTCACATTTTGTAGATTACTGAACGTGTAATATCTAATATCAAATGTATAGTTAAAATATTAAATATATAGTTGTCAAGTTTTGCAATTGATCAAGATCTTCAAAGAAGGGGGCTCCGAAAGTGTTAAACGCCGCCGTGCAAGAGCTAGGTAAAAACATTGCAGATGGAGGCACTCTCATCGTTTTCCCCACAACTGCGACATGTTTGACTGATATTTTAGCATGGTTCCCTAGTTTACAGAGACCTGTAAGTAAACCTATCAAAATACTGATACCTATCTCTACGGGGTATCTCAATGAGAATTTTGGATTTCCTTTTATCGGAACGTGGCCAGATTGCATACAGATGCCTGCGCATCGTTGAGTCTTCCCATCTTTTATTAAAAATTTCAGTACAGAAGGAACTCAGTAACAGTTTACATGATATTAACGATATGCCCAGATTACTAAGGTGTACCGAGTGAGTCCTGAAGCACCCTTTATGGCTAGCTCGTCTGTTCTGCAAATGCCGACAATGTCTCTATGACCGGGAACCCATATTAGAGAAATATGTCAACATTTCGTTTAGACATATGTATCTTTCTGCACAGTTTTATTAGAAATTTCAAAAGTTGTTTACAAATTTCTTAGTATATGCTGAGCATGTTCCTATCGGTAATCAAAAACTCTTCAATGAAAGATTTATAATATTCGTAAACCAACCTTATGTTGTGTTCTATTGAAGAGGATCTATTTGAAGTCTCAATATTCTGCTTCATTGGGAACCTCTTAGAGAAAAACTTTAGAGAAGTTTTATAATAATTTTCAATTTTGAATTAAAAGTAAATTCCTATAAAACTGTTGGATGATATTTATGAGAAATTTGAATATTGAATTTAGTAAATTCGCTTCTGTTTATACACAACAAAAAATTTTGCAGGCCTAAAACTGAACGTGTTTTAGTTGCTAGATCTTTTTGTAGAAAAATTGGGTAAAAGTGGGCAATTATGCAAAACCACAACTGAATTTCATCTAAAGTTGTCATCGAGTAACGCGAATTTAAATCTTAATAGAAAACAGATGCATACGAAATAAACTTGCAATTTAATTGGAACTATAAATAAAAAACACGACACCATTAGAGAGCTGCAAGTTATAATCGTAATTTGTGCAATGCAGCAAATATCATATTGCCTCATGGAACGGCAGTTGGTTTCAGTCGGAGTAATAGCAACATTATTCGAAAAATATAGCAACAAATGTGTAAGCAAAAACCGCTCCTTGTCGCATTCGCCGATGCCACTCAGACTTCGCACTTATTATGCAAATAAAAATCTGCCCGCAACGACGAGAATAAAGGCCCTTAAAATGTTGCCTTCAATACTGTGGCAAAGCTGGAAACGACTGGTGCAGTATCAAGCTGTGCACGATTTGCTGCAACGGATGCGCAAATAAAAATTATACGCATTTGTGGTAAATGCATAATTGATGAAAACGCGCGTGCGTCTTGCCACATTTGATATACCGCTGCCCGCCGCAGTCCAACTTAAACTGTTTAAGAGATAAAATTCCGATTTTCCTTGACTATAAAGTGCGTAGAAAACAAATGCTTGGCATTTTGTATATGGGATCGCGGTTAGTGTAAATAACAACTTTGATGATGTTGTATAAGTTGAATAGAGTATCTTATTGGATGTTGCGAACTTTGAGCTATTATGTTGAATGATGAACATAGTACACATACATATCTACGCTTATCGAACATACATACAAATGCCAAGTATTCTAAGCATATACAATATTACAAGTAGTTTAGTTCTCCTTGCCAGAAGCGGTAAGACGACCTGGTGCTGCTTTTTTATTTATGCAATATTTTCATTTCACTGCTCCAATATCTTTTTGTTTGCATGCAATGTCGATAAAGTAGCGCGGCTAGTATGGTCATAAATATGGAAATTCATGGTTATTGGCATTGATAATTACTGTGTTGATTCACCTAAGGCATAAACAAACAATTTTTTAGAGGTGATGGCGGGGACAATTTGAGGTGTTAATGGGCAAAAGCACTTCCAACCAAATAGCTACAGTCTTGCGATTCGGTGTAGTATAATTTGACGCTAAAATTTAAGTGGTTACTCTTACTATGAAGGCCTGAAAAGGCAAATGGATTTTAATGCCTTCTGTGCTTTTATCAATGGTTAAGTGTTAAGCGCATGCGGTTCTGTGTAAGTCAGGCATGCAATGAGCAATAAACCGCCTGCTTATTAAATACGAACAAATCATTGACAACGTGATTGGACTTATCAACGCATCTTGCCGCCAGCTAAATTAGCATCGGCGGGTCTGACAATGAGGATGACAACATCAATAATTTTGCAAAGTATCCATAAATTAGAATTTATGGAAAGGAAGTAACTGGACAAGATGGAGAAGTGCCAAAACGTGTTGAGTTATTTCCGTGCGAAAGAGGAAGCAGGTTTATTTATTTTTTCTTAATGGAAATCATAATTTTATTTTATAAAGTTGTTTGCTATAAATTGATTAATTATTTCTATAAAAATTTGCTAATAAAAAGAGAAATTGCTTTAAGACCACTCTATTCACTATTTCACTATTTTTGGTTGGTTTAACACTAATTTCTATACAAAAATAGACTCTGGCAAAAATTTTAATTGCTCGTAAATCAAATTTTAAAAATCGTTTACATAAATTAATATCATCGATTTCTTACAAATTTAAAATACATTAACTTTCTTTGTAATATGAAATAAAGTTTCATCATATCAAGTACTGCAAACAGATTATATCTACTAAACAGTACTTAAAAAGTATTTAAAAATTAATTCAAAAATCAACTTCTTCACCGATGACTCTAAGACTGAAACAGAACTAAGCGTAGTACTCTTCTGCCCGCTAACATGATGCAGCCACACCGACTGATGGATGCAATAAAATCTTTCACACAGAAATATTAACTGTACTGTATCGAGTAGAAATTTGCTCAAAATTAAATGCATACTGTACATTATCAGTCTAGCGTAAACAGACCATTAACAGTGGGTTAGAGCACATCTTATTGTATTCAATTCATTAATTTATCGTATCTTTAACTGGTATTCATAAACAAAAAAGCATGGGTGGCACTCGCTTTCAAAGAGTTTATGCTAAAATGTAGAGATAATCTTTAAATTACAACATTCACAGTTAAAAATACTTTCATATTTCGATAGACAGTATTATGCTCTTTCAATTG